AGTGTAGGCCACCTGTCAAGGGTGCTGGGAACTGAACTCAGGCTGTCTGCCAGAACACTATTCCCACCCCCTCTTTCTGTTGTTGTCATTGTTCTTTGTTTCTCTGTGTAGCTCTGGCTGTCCTGGAACCCACTCTGTACACCAGGATGGCCTCCAAGTCAAAGACTGGCCTGGAGTACTGGATTAAAGGTGTGCACCACCACCGCCCGGCTTCTCTGTGTTCTTAACCACTGAGCCATCTTCTCCAGCTCCACAAATCACAATTTCTATCACAGACATCCTGTTAACCTGATTATGCCTTGCTGGATGAATGCCTGGCACTAAAGCATCATCTAAGGTCAGGTGTTGTATAGGATAGGCAGAACACCCACAAGGAAGGAATCTGTCTCTAATTACAGAGCAACACTGGTAGTTAAAAGCAAAGGATGGCTTTTTAACACACTGGCTCCCAAATGCCTATTTCCTAAATAACATTCTGATTTCCCAGACTTCCATGATAGTTGATTTCCGGATAAATGAGAAAAATTTTTTTTCTTTCCCTTTGTATTTGGGAAGGGGGTGTAACTAGGGAACTTGGGAAGAAGTTGTTTTGATTCCATTAATTAAGGTAAACAGACAAGATTCCTTCTAAACTGAAAGATACACAATACTTAGTTATTACCTTTAAATAGATTGGAGGGGGGTGAAGAACTAATAGTTTAAAAAACAAAAAGCAGATAATCTGGATCCTTGTTCCCCTTAGCATATCATCAGTAACAGATCATCCACTGAACTGTACACAGAAATCAGGCTATCATTAAAGCATGCACCATCCTATACACTATCTACATGAAAACTGGATGACAGGGACGGTCATAGGAATAAATGGAAATGCTGCCTCATCTTCTGTTTCACTGGTGAATATAGAATCCTACCTTTTGTCTCACCACATTTCCTCGGTCAATGAAAAAGAACCAAGGAGACTAGCTAAACACCCTATAGGAAAGCTCATTCTTAGAATTATACAAGCTCAAACAGAATCCCAGAATTCAAAGACAGATAAATTACCATTTCGGCTGCTAATATAATAAAACGTATGTCACACATGTAATAATCAGATAAATAAGATTAATTGAAACCCAATACTAATGGCTAAAAAGTTAAAATAGGAATTAAGCAAGGCCATGGACAAGAGCAATCAAGTAAGTGAGCAGCTGCTCCTTCTCACCTACTTCTACCTGGACAGAAACAGGCTGGTTTAGCAGGCCCTGGGAGAAGTCTCAGGTGTGATGACAGAAACCTAAGACCAGATAGAGGTTACCTTATAAAAGAGTATTAATCCCAAAATGGAAGATTTTCTTTTTAGACTTTCTTCCTAGTCTTCATTCCTGTCCCTTTAAAAAAACCTTTTAAAATGAAAGTATGATTTAAATAGGCAGAAAGAAAAAAGCAACCTCACAAGCTGCGGAACTCCCTTCCCCAAGCCTAACACCTCATGTGAGACATAAGTCTTTTAAAAGCCGAGTGATTCTAGTCCTAAGAGCAAAGCACCAGATTTCTCAGCACAAGCTGAAAAGCACCTAAGCTAAGCCTTGGTAAAGCGGTAGACATGCAGAATAAACTCCACACTGGAACGGGAGAAAGGAAGGTTTTCAAACCACACTGCTATCATTTCCCTGCAAGATGAGCCAAAAGTCAAGCGCGGGTTCCTGGAAAGGGGAGGGAGATCCAGCTCCACTCTTTGTTACTAACAAACTAGTCATCTGACAACAGGCTCTTTACACCACCTGTGGAAATCTCTTAGAAATCACTCTTCCGGGGCTGGAGAAATGGCTCAGCGGTTAAGAGCACTGCCTGCTCTTCCAAAGGTCCTGAGTTCAATTCCCAGCAACCACATGGTGGCTCACAACCATCTGTAATGAGGTCTGGTGCCCTCTTCTGGCCTGCAGGCATACAAGCAGATAGAATACTGTATAAATAATAAATAAATATTTAAAAAAAGAAAAAGAAATCACTCTTCTGTAAAACCATAAAACAAAAATTAGCATTCTCCCCTCCTGCTGGCTTTTCTCCATTGTTAAAGAGGCTGGAAAGTAAGTAAAAATTGGAAATTGAATGATATAAATACGTATTTTAAAATCCAAGCTTGCAAAATCCTGAACCAAACTGAGAAAAAAAATCTTTTTTGTTTTGTCTTTTCGAGACAGGGTTTCTCTGTAGCTTTTGAAGCCTGTCCTGGAACTAACTCCAGTGGACCAGGTTGGCCTTGAACTCAAAGAGATACACCTGCCTCTGCCTCCAGAGTGTTTGGATTAAAGTTGTGCGCCAACGCTAGGCTCAACTTTTTCTTGAAAAAGAAAAAAGGAACTGGTCCTAGTAGATAGCCCCTGCCCGCAATTCCAGAGCTTAAGAAATGAAGGAGACTCTGGAGGGTCAAGGTAGCCTGTGGCCACACAGAGCTGGAGGCCAGACTAAGCTATGTGAGACACTGTTTAACAACTTAAAAAAAAGAAAACCTGCTGGACATTGGTGAGAAATCAGCTCCTGTTACTAGTGCAGACGGAGCTGTGGCTGTATTCTGTTACATTTCTGTGGTGCCCCAGCCCTAGTGTTTATCTTTCAGCTACACCTGATGGGTTTACAAAGAAAAGGCCTCTTAGGTTTGGTTCAGAGGATCCAACAAGTGGGAGCCATCGAACTGGCCATAAGATGATAACGTTTGCAGACAGGTAAAGGATATGCGAGGCTTTAAAACAGACAGAACTCAAAATTTTTCTTAGGAAAAAAAAAGTAATTCATGTATCCAAAAAGCCTATTAAAGATTCAGAAATTGTGTTCCACTACGCCGAGAATTCTACTTTTTTTTCTAGTCTCTTGATCTGATTAACAGTGACTTTTTGGCAACTCCTTTGAGAAGCGCCTACCCACATTCGAGAGGAAGGACAGCTTCTCTGCTCTCCAGCTCCCTCTCTGCTCTGCCAATCTTAACGCCGGTACAGAAATCTATAATAAAACCCGTTCTTCACAAACACCAACTCTGCCACAAGGAACCCAACTCCTATCCTCCAAACCAGGGTACGTTTCCCGACAGACCTACAACCCAAACACAAAGCTCGTCTTTTCATTCGGCTCGTCAGCTAGCCAACTGCGAGGTAATCTTAACATTCTAACTTCACCATTAATAATTTTCATTTCAAAACCAAGCCTGTGTGAGCCACGACGATGAACTGCCACAGACGTGGTTTTGTTTTCAGTACTTAAAACCCCCAGGGGTTTTAAAGTAAGTTGAACGGCTACTGCGTAAAGGTGAAAAGAAACAGATGGTTGCTGACTGCAAGAAAGTAAACTCAACAGAAAAGGGTGAAAAGACGGAATCAAACGTAACACACAGGCTTGCTCCCCAAATCTCCGCCTAAGTAACTCATAAACACACACTCCCTCCCCTGGAAAGGCTTTTTTAAGTCTTTAGAAAGCAGCGACCCCGACTGGTTTCTACCCCTCCTCCTTTCTTAAGGGAAGTGCTAGAAAGTCAAGAAACAAGCCAGAAGACAGGGCGGAAGATGGAAAGCCAGAAAGCATGGAGTCGCTGCAACCGGCACTTTAAATAACCCCAGAAGAGTTTCCAAGTTGGCCTACAAGAGGAGTGAGCCGCTGGGCTCCCTCTCGGCAACTCCGGAGTTCCGGGCAGCTCCGGGAGGCGGTCACAGGGCCGGCGGGAGCGAGAGCAGCTCCCGGGCCGCCCTAGCCGAGCTCCGAGGGCCCGGCTCGCACCCAGCTGGGCCGTAGGCCTGGGGCAGCAGCGCCCGAGCCCCGGCCCTTCACCGCCCGGACGGCTCAAACGACTGCCGAGCCCCGCAGCCCCGGAGACGCGGGCGACGGCCCGAACCCCAGCCGCGGGACGCGTCCCGCCGAAGGCCGCCCACTCAGGGCCCCGGGCCCCGCGCGACTCCCGGCGGACCCCCGGCCCGAGCCCCGCTGTCTACCTGTCTTCGCTCTTATTTTTCTGTTTCTTCCCCATCGCTTGTCAGCGGCGTCGGCGGACCCGGCCTCTCGGTTCGGTGTCTCACACACCCACTGTCTCCCCGCTGACGCCAATGCCCGCTCGGCTCCGTCCACCTCGCGCCGCCGCCTCTCGCACCCGGCTCTCCACAGACCCGCGCACTGGGACAGGGCACATATGGTGTAAGCCCTCAGTACGCAAGCGCATCGCCCCGCCGCCTCGGCGTGGGGACGCAGGGCGCGGCTCATCGAGAGCGGCGCTTCGGCTAGAGCGTCTTCAGTTGACCCGCCGGCCAGGTGGGAACCCGAGCGCCCCCTAGCCGCAAGGGACTGCCGCACACCGGCGCCCGGCCGCTCCCGGATTCTAGAACCTAGAGGACCACAATGAGGCTTTTCGTTTCTCACGTCAGCACCCTCCCGGGGGCTGGCGTTCGACCCAGGAGTGGTGCTGAAAATTCCCTCATGTCTACATCTCCTCAGCTGCAGGAAATTCATTCATTACGGGACCACAAGGAGCCAATAATGAGCCCTCCGGAGTTCCCCAGGGACATACACCCAGAACAAAATAATGAATGGATCCATCCCCCTCAGGAACAGTCATGTATAACAGTAACACTGTGAACATTTATTAGGGAGAAAAGACACACGGGTACAGAGACTAATCCCCTAATATGAATCTTCATATGAGCAAGTTCTAAATATCCGTGTGTTTAAGGAAGTCAGGAGGGAAGATTCTGGAATGGCGAAAATGTTTGGGGGCGATGTTATTAGTGCGAGCTACCGATTAATAATAGTGCACTATAAGTTATACTTCAACTTTAGAAAAGACTAAACTTAAAGCCCCACGGACAGGAACAACATCAGGCTCATTTCGATGTAGCACAGCCAGGGCTGACGCACAGCCTGTGCACAAGAAAAACTACAATTCCCAGCGTCCTTAGCGCCCATCCCTCCGGTCATCAGCCCACAAGTATAGGGTCGGAATCTTGGGTGGCGGAGAAGAGACGCACTCTCCGAGGCTTTCGTCACCCCCTCGCCGCCCCTTCCGCGGATCTCTCACATTGTCTCGCGAGAGGACTTTAGCCAATGGAAAGGAAGAGTGGACAGAACCTTCGCCGCCCTTAACAACTGCTGCGAGGCTGAATCCTGCGTGAACCCGATCGGTGTTCTTGATCTGCAGCGTCCTCTCTTCGTCGGCACCACCAATAGGCCAGGTACGGCAGAGGATGCTGTGACAGATCCTGCCACCGCGTTCCGTTGTTGAAGGACGGACAGATCAGGGCTACACGTCCGGCCGGGTCGGGCGCGGCCGGGGGGTGGGGGTGGTGAGGAGGGCGTAGCTGGGACAGCCTTGACCGAGAGGCTGCTGAGGCTGTGGCGCACGCCCCAGGTAGTGCGAAATCGCTTCCCCCGGAATTCCTCCGCCTGTCCCTGGAGCGCAGAGAGTGGCAAAGAATCTTCCGACAGGTACAGGGATTAGCATTTCGATCAGCAGTTGGTAGGTTAGTTAAATAGGTATCAGCCTTTCAGTTCATCTGTAAGAATATTCGAGTTGGTTCAATAAATAGAAAGTTAGGGGGCCCACTAAGCTATTTCCTTACTCCCCCTCCCCGCCCCCACATCTAAAGGCAGTGACTACCATGGCCTAACCTAGCACAGCTCTTGTGGCCTGTGTTCTCATGAGGCTCCGAATTTAAATGTGAAGGCATCCTGTAAAAAGCCACAGGAGTAAGCGAATGCTATGCCCAAATAACGTCAGATTCTGATGAGCTTGTCTCGGATCCCCTCATTTAGCCCCGAATGCAGTCTTTGTTGTTGGTGGTGTTGTTTATGGTTTTCGTGACATGGTTTCTCTGTAGCTTTGGAGCCTGTCCTGGAACTCGCTCCGTAAAACATGCTGGCCCCGAATTTACAGAGATCCGCCAGCCTCTTCCTGCCGAGTGCTGGGATTAAAAGCGTGCACTGACACCACCCGACCCGAGTGGAGAGTCTTAATCTCACATTTCTCTTCCGGGAGTAGGGAATCATAGCAATACAGCTTCTTTTCAATCATATATAGTACTTATGAGTCGTTGACAGTTGGGGTTTAGAGGGTTGTTTAGGATTTATGTAGCCCAGGCTGGCCTCTGTTGCTCTTTGTGTATCCAAGGATGATCTCAAATCTCTGATGCTTAGGCTTCTGCCTTTGAGAACTGAGATTATCGTCATGAACCACCATGCCCAGGCTAACTTCGTTTGGGAAGTGTTTGGTTTTAGCTGTCAACTTGACACAATCAAGACTCGCCTGAGAAGGAGGACTTAGGGAGAGATTGGCAAGATCAGGATGCCCTGTGGCTGGGGGGAGTGGGGATTATCTCGATTGCTTAAATAAAGCAAGGAGACCTGCCCATTTGTGCAGCACCGTTCTGTGCCCTGAATTTGAATCCTGAGTTAAGTGTAGAGGGGAGATTAAGCACAGGTAAAGCTGTCTTTGTTAGGACATCTCTGAGAGGGTATAGAAATGAAACTCTTTATGGCAGTGTCCATTAATAAATGGCTTTTCTAGAAGCCATAAAGCAAGTTAGTACCATCAGGGACAATCCTGGAACTATAGACCATGTTTTTGATGGCCTAGATCTTTGCTCCTGTTTTAGCAGGTGTTGGGGCCTACCTGCAAGGTTCTAAAGTCAAAATGCTATCTCTAACATGGCATCTGCTGTGTTAAGGTCTCGAGCCCTGTAACCAAGACCATGTCTTTAAAAAAAAAAAAAAACAAAACAAAACAAAAAAACCAAAAGTATAAATTTAATGCTTGTTTCTTTGTGACCCTCCCAGCACCAAGACTGCTTAGAAGAATGGAAGGTAATGGATCCATCGACATGTTCTCAGAAGTCCTAGAGAACCAGTTCCTCCAGGCTGCTAAGCTCGTGGAAAGTCACTTGGACTCAGAAATTCAGAAGCTGGATCAGATCGGTGAAGATGAGCTCGAACTCCTCAAAGAGAAGAGACTGGCGGCACTCAGGAAGGCCCAACAGCAGAAACAAGTAACCTCTCCCGCCTACTCTCTGAAATCACCTTAGCACTATGCTCCTGACTACGTGTGCAGTCATGTGACCTTCCTCACTTTCAGGATGTTCTGAATTCAAACTTCTCTGTCACTTAGATATTTTCCCAGGAATCAAACAAAAGGGAAGACTTAGGCGAGATGTAGCATTTAATTGAGAAGCTGAAATGTAGAAGAGAGATTAAAACTTTTCTCAGACCGAGCTTAGGGTGCATATATCAAAACTAAAGACATACAATAGTTCCGTGTGAGAAGAGGTTTTTTAAAAAATATTTATTTATTTATTACGTATACAATATTCTGTCTATGTGTGTATGCCTGCAGGCCAGAAGAGGGCACCAGACCCCATTACAGATGGTCGTGAGCCACCATGTGGTTGCTGGGAATTGAACTCAGGACCTTTGGAAGAGCAGGCAATGCTCTTAACCTCTGAGCCATCTCTCCAGCCCTGAGAAGAGGTTTTTAAAGCATGTGTGCATTTTTATTAAATTGGCTGGGGTTAGGAGGCAGGATCTCCCTGTGCAGCCACAATTGACCTGCTTCTGGCTCCAGAAGCACTGGAACTGAAGGCCTGTGTCCCCACACCCGGTTCTGTCTTGTTAACTCAAAGGCTCAGAAAGGTCACTAAAATTCTAGTTCAGTAAATGATGGGAAGGGCATTGAAACTTTTGCCTTGTTTCTTTTTTCTTTCTTTTAAACTATCTGGCTGAAAGGCATAGTGAGCGTATAGTTGAGGTAACAAGCTTTCTGCCGCAGGAAAAGTGGAAGGGGCTGAGCATTCTCAGGCTTGGCTCCAGTGCCTTGGCTTGTGAGCTGAATTACATGTCAGGTTTTCCTTGGTTCTGGACACCACATGAGTAGAATACTTTTCCTTCTGAGGACTCTGCTCACTGATGGCTAGTCTAGAAAGCCTTGCCTGTTTGAGATTATCAGAAGCAGACAGGTGGGTTTCTAAGCTTCTGAGCTGTAGTAACCACACTGTCCCCCCAAACTGATAGGTTTTATTTCATGGGGTGGTTTGTTTGGTTTGTCTTTTCGCTATAGGATAGAATTGGTTTCTTTACAAAATAATACAGTGATTGAGACACTTAAAATCCCGAGTGTCACCAAAAGACATTTCAGCTGGATGGTGTGCTTCTCTTGAAATTAGGAATGGCTTTCTAAAGGTCATGGGGAGTACAGAGAAGTTGCCAGCGAGAGAGACTTTTTTCAAGAAGTCAAGGAGAGTGAAAAAGTGGTTTGCCATTTCTACAGAGACACCACATTCAGGTAACTTTGCTTCCCCCCACCCTTGGAAGTCAGTATTCCTATGAGAATGGTTTATTGTTCCTCAAATATTTTTCCACTGTGTAACTCTAAATATGTCTTAAAGTAGATTCTTACAATTCTTACCAAAATAATAATTTGGTTGTTTTTTCACTGTGCTGTGTTCACTGGGAATTGGAGGGCAACAGATTTCGTGATCAGTGTTTATCCACCCGCTCTGTCCCCTTGATAAGGAGATAGTGAGTGACTTGACCAAGCCTTTCCTTGGAACCATAGATGGAACTGCCAGGCTTATCTCCTGTGGGAACAAAAACAAAAACTCTTGTCTAGGGGCTGGAGAGATGGCTCAGCGGTTAAGAGCACTGACTGCTCTTCCAGAGGACCCGGGTTCAATTCCCAGCACCCACATGGCAGCTCACAACTGTCTGAAGATCCAGTTGCAGGGGATCTGACACCTTCACACCAATGCACATAAAATAAAGTTAAAAAAAAAAAAAAACTCTTGTCTAAAACATTTTTGATTTCCATTTGAAAGTTAAGATAACCCCCCAAAATAAATAAAGATAACCCTGATTTCCATTTGAAAGTTAAGATAACCCCCCAAAATAAATAAAGATAACCCTAAAGAGCCGGGCGGTGGTGGCGCAGCCTTTAATCCCAGCACTCGGGAGGCAGAGGCAGGCGGATCTCTGTGAGTTCGAGACCAACCTGGTCTACAAGAGCTAGTTCCAGGACAGGCTCCAAAACCACAGAGAAACCCTGTCTCGAAAAACCAAAAAAAAAAAAAAAAAAAAAAAAAAAAGATAACCCTAAAGTATCTAGCTTGGTGCAATCCTGCTCACAATTCCGTGTTTACCAGCAGCTGTCTCTTACCCATCAACAATCAAAATATTCAAAATCAGCACAATATTATACTGTGTATTTCCCATCTTTTGTGGCTTATTTCCTTTTTTAAAAAACTTTTTTAATGATTTGTTTTTATTTTATGTGCATTGGTGTTTTGACTGCCTGTATGTCTGTGTGTGGGTACCAGATTCTCTGAAACTGGAGATACAAACAGTTGTGAACGCCCATGTGGATGCTGGGAATTGAACCCTGGTCCTCTGGATGAGCAACCAGTGCTCTTAACCACTGAGTCACCTCTCCAGCCCCTGCTTTTTCTTTTATTTTACTTTTACTGTCTCTTTAAAGACTTTACTTGACTTTTAAACTATTTCTTTCTATAACTGTCCATACCCCTTTTCTTTCCTGCCTGCACACATTGTACAACACATTGGAATATGTTCAGAGTTTTTTTTTTTCCATCTGGACCTCTTCTTCTGTGTATCTTTTAGGCTTTTTTGACCACATGAGCAAATTTTTTTTTTTTACATTAATCATAAACTGATTGGCCCATTAGCTCAGGCTTCTTATTTACTCTCATAACTTACATTAGCCCATTATTCTTATCTGTGTTAGCCACATGGCTCAGTACCTTTTTCAGCAGCGTAGTCACATCTTGCTTCTTCTGTGTCTGGACAGGACTGCCGAGGAATCCACACGAGCAAATTTTAAACTGCTAAGCTACACCTGGGTCCTCTGTGAGACTCTCCTGGCTGATTCTGCCCACCTCTAGTGTGGCCTGGTCAGAAGTGTCTGACCAGGTACTACATTTACCTCCTATCTATAGGAAGCCGGTACCTGTGCTGCTGCCACAAGCGGTTCTTACTTAGCTTGCTTTTTTATTTATTTATTTATTTTTTTTTTGAACTTTTTGAGACAAAGTTTCTCTGTAGCTTGGGAGCCTGTCCTGAAACTAGCTCTTGTAGACCAGGCTAGCCTTGAACTCACAGAGATGGAGAGATGGGCCTGCCTCTGCCTCCGAGTGCTGGGATTAAAGGCACGTACCACCTCAACCTGGCTCTTAGCTTGCATTTCTATTTAACGCTGACAGCTGAACAGCAGAGCGGGGCCTCTGAAAGGAGCAGTGTCTTTTTTTCTTCCTTTTTTTTCCAACCTTCTCAGGCCATACAATGGACATTCGGACCCATGTTGGTAGGCTAAAATGTTGTTGGTTGTTTTTATTCTTGACTTATTTACTCTTCTGCAGGCTCACCACCAAGCTTTCAAATCATGACATGGAGGCTTGTTTCTTATAAATGCACAGCCCTAGCTTGGCTTATTTCTAGCCAGCTTTTTAAAAATTGTCCCTTCTACCTTTTGCCTCTGGGCTTTTTCCTCTTCTTGTGTGATCTTTCGCTCTCACTCCTTGCCGGCTGGCCTCTTTTCTTGCTCTCACTCCTTGCCGGCTGGCCTCTTCTTTTCTTGCTCTCACTCCTTGCCGGCTGGCCTCTTTTCTTGCTCTCACTCCTTGCCGGCTGGCCTCTTCTTTTCTTGCTCTCACTCCTTGCCGGCTGGCCTCTTTTCTTGCTCTCACTCCTTGTCGGCTGGCCTCTTCTTTTCTTGCTCTCACTCCTTGCCGGCTGGCCTCTTTTCTTGCTCTTACCTTTTGATTTCTTTTGCTTCTTCCTCCTCTGATGTTCTTCTATTTATTTCCTCAGACTGCCAGCCCCACCTATTTCTCTCTCCTGCCTAGCTATTGGCTGTGCAGGTTTTTAGACAAGGCACCGTAACAGCTTCACAGGTGTTTTAGACAAATATAGTAATAGCTTCAAACATGTAACGTAAAAGAATGCAACACATCTTTGCATCATTAAACAAACGTTCCACAGCATAAACAAGTGTAGTTCATCTTAAATTAATATTCCACAACATGGGTTGGTCCCAGGCATGGTGGTCTACAGCTGTAATTTCATTGCTTTTGAGACTGCAGGTAGGATTACAATTTTGAGGTCAGCCTGGGCTACATAGTAAGATCTTAGAACAACAGCAAAATATGTTAGTGAACAAATGGTGTGCATAGACTGAATTAAATTAGGTTCCTTCTCGAGTTAAAATATGGTGTAGATTTATGTTACAGATTTCTTACATACAGATTTATTTGTTTAGAGCATCATTTAAAACCCGATATTTGTTACCTTACCATTTATTTCTAAAACCTTGCTTTGTTTGCTCTTTTGGTTTTTCAAGACAGGGTCTCTATGTAGTCCTAGCTGTCCTGGAACTCAGAGATCTGCCTTCGTTTACCTCCCAATTCCTGGGATTAAAGGTGTGTGTCACCATCACCCTGTCTTAGCTCTGAAATCTTATTGAACTACCTGGGAGAAAAGACCCAGCCAGTAACAAGATTGGGCATCAAGGTTATAAGAAACTTCCTGAGCCTAGACTAGTTCTGGAGCAACAGCGGGTACTCAAGAATCACCTGTGTACTTCCCCATTATATGCGAGAACTTTGACTTGCCTCTATGTTTTAAAAGTAATCAACTCTTAGCTGGCTGTGGTGGTGCTCGCCCTTAATCCCAGCACTTGGGAGGCAGAGGCCAGCGAATATGATTCGAGGCCAGCCTGGTCTATGGAGTGAGTTCCAGTACAGCCAGGACTGAGAAGAACAGGACAGAGAAACCCTGTCTCGGAAAACAAAATAATAAGTAAGTAAAACTCAGTTATAATGAACACCTGTGCTTAAGAGCCAAAAAGATTGGCAGTCTGTTTCTTTTGAAACTAGGAGCTTGGTTTGTTTAAAATAGATTTTAATATAAAGAAAATGTCACTTCCTTTTCAGCAGATGGTTTAATAAAAATCACGACAGAGCTGAAAGTGCAGTTTATTGGGTTCATTCTTTAGCACTGGGGATTTGGGGGTGGAGTCACACTGATACCATTCATTTCTTAAGGGTCACACTAGCCATATTTAAACAGCACTGGTAACCTTTAATAGATAAGCTTCCCTGACAGAGTTACGTGTTTCAGGGAGTTCTTGGTGGCTCTAGTTTTTGGTTTTTTTCATTGTTGTTGTTTTGTTTCCATTTTTGGATTTTAGTTTTTCACGACAGTGTTTCTCTGTGTAGCCCTGGTTCTGTCCTAAAATTCACTGTAGACCAGGCTGGCCTCCAGCTCAAAGATCAGCCTGCCTTTGATTCCTGAGTGCTGGATTAAAGGTATGTGCTGCCGCTGCCCAGCTCTGGTGACTCCAGTTTTTAGTTTTTTCTTTTTTTTTTTTTTTTTTCGAGACAGGGTTTCTCTGTGGCTTTGGAGCCTATCCTGGAACTAGCTCTGCAGACCAGGCTGGTCTTGAACTCACAGAGATCCGCCTGCCTCTGCCTCCTGAGTGCTGGGATTAAAGGCGTGCGCCACCATCGCCCGGCTTTTTTACTCCAGTTTTTAATCGTAAATTCCAGATGTGGCACCGGCTGAATTTTTGCCTTTTATGAGTTCTGTCAGCTTCAGTCTATCCCCCTTCATCCTTATGAAGACACCAGGAAACATTCATGTATAAGGGAACCTTTTTTTTATCCTAAGTATGGCAACTCATAAAATTGAGATTCAAAAAAAAACATATAAAATGCGCTGCACAGTAATGCTTCCTTTAGCGTTCGCCTGTCTGCTCTTGTCTTACAGGTGTAAAATACTAGACAGACATTTGGCAACACTGGCCAAAAAACATCTTGAAACCAAGTTTTTGAAGCTGAATGTGGAAAAAGCGCCATTCCTCTGTGAGAGACTGCGGATCAAAGTCATCCCCACACTAGCTCTCCTGAGAGATGGCAAGACACAAGATTATGTTGTCGGATTCACTGACCTAGGAAACACAGATGACTTCACCACGGAAACTTTAGAGTGGAGACTTGGTTGTTCTGACGTTATCAATTACAGGTAACCTTTAGCAAAGATGAACCAAAAAATAGATAGTTGGTCATTTTTTTTTTAGATTTTTTTATTTGTTTATTTATTTATTTTATGTTTTATGAAATTAAATCCTGTTGTATTCAGCTTAGGAAAAGCCCATTTCTTAAAGCATAGAGTAATGTGAACTTATAGCAAAACCAAATTTACAGATAAAAACTGAGCCTTGAAGGCAGCCTAGACGTTTTCAACGTAAGAAATGTCATTGAAACTAATTTTGGAAACCCAAAGTGACATTCCCGAATAGATTGCCTTTGGGTGTGTGCAGGAGGGTTGTTTTTTACGATGTTTAGAGAATCAACTCAGAGACTTATACATGCTAGACAAGTCTTCTGTCACTAAGTTATACCCTAAGCCTTAACTCCACAATTTATAGCTGACTTAAGTGATTCTTTGTGATAAAATTAAAATGTCAAACACAACTGCCAAAAAGGTCATTGTGCTTTTGTGATTTCATGCTTGTAGTACTGAGTGACAGCCAGGACCTTACATGTACTAGCTGTGCCGCACCACACACAACAGCAATCCCTAGCCCTGAATAGGCTTTTACTGTAGGCGTTCATATGTCACACGTACAGTGTCTCCCCCACTTCCCCTCACTTCTCTGAGTCTCCACTAAACATGGATGAATTATCCCTGTACTGTAGAAGTCCATTTTTGCTTTTGTTAACATGAGCATACATTAACATTTGTTCAACAGAACACTATATTTTGAAATTATATCTAGCTTTTTCTTTAGGTTTTTGTGTTTTAAGACAAGGTCTTACTCTACAGTCCAGTAATGTTAATCCTCCTGCCTCAGCCTCCCAAGTGCTGGGATTACAGGTGGGATCCACCATGCCCAACTTGATTTTGAATTTTAGTTATGTTGCAAACTAGCAAAAGGAAGTCTTGCATAATCTACCATATTCCCACATTTTAAATGTATATGCCAGATACATAACATTGTTTTCAGAACCATTTGAGTATACTTCTTTATTTCTAAATGTGTTTTTCCTAAGAATAAGTACATTTTCTTGTATACTTCCAGTGCAGTTAATAAAATAGCAGTGATATAGTTTATAGAACCTACTCGAATGTACCACCATCCTTGTATCGTTTTCCTTGTCTGAAAATTGTGTCACGTTTAGTTATTGCATTTAGCTTCTGTAACAATTTCTATAGTAATTGTTTTTAAAAAGTATAAGCTAGTTAATTTCTCAGTGTTCCCCAGCTCGGACCTATGTGTGCATCTCAGACTCAGATCTCAGGTCAGGGCTGTTTGCTGCAGGAGGGTGTGGGTGCCTTCATTCTCAGTGCATCATCTGATGGTAGTGGTCCAGCATTGGTTTGGACACTATCATGCCAGGTGATGATTTATGAGGAACTTTTGTATCACTTGTGTTTATTTCCTTGTCCATTTAGTGATTAGCCTGGGCTGCAAATGATTTTATTCTGCAGGTTATAGTCGATAAAGCTTCATTATCCTTTGACCCTTGTGGCCCAAGCAAGATGCTTTAGGAAAGCTTATGTTGTATTCTGTCTGTAAAATTAGCTGTGTTTCTAAGAAGTTGTGCTTCCTTTCAGTGCAAATGATAGTTTTTTTCTCCTTTTTCATTTATTGATTACTTTATTTACTGTTTGTTTAGGACAGGTTCTCACTGTATAGTCTAAATGGTCCTCAAATGCATAGTCCTAGCTCAGCCTCCTGGCAACTGGAATTATAGGCATGTGCCACAGTTCCTGCCTAGCAAATGATGTTCCAAAACTAACATCTGGATGCCAGGACACATACACAAAACTGCCTTATCATTTATTTCCCTAGCATTATTGAAAAGTTTTTTAAAAAAATTTGTGTTTTATTTTTCTAAGTTTTGTGCCAATCCCGGGCTGACAATAGTGCATTCTGTGAGTGAGTTTGCTAATGTGTGTAGAAATGTAAACACTGGGGTGCTGCCCAGGAAAAGTCACAGCAAGAGCTCAAGCACAGCTGTGTTGTGTCTGCTTCGGAACATTAATGCCTAGCGTGCAGAGAGCCAGGGCCCCATCTCCATTAGCCCAAAAATGTTTATGATAATGATTATGATAAACAAGAGGCTCAAACGTTGATCTAATACAGTTAGGTAAGGTGTGACACTATTAACTGTTAGTATTAATGCTTTTTACATTCTAGCATCCCAAGTGTATTAAATCATAAAAAATAAAATGCTCTTAAACTTTGTTTCACTTTTAGTGGAAATTTAATGGAGCCACCATTTCAGAGCCAAAAGAAATTTGGGACAAACTTCACAAAGCTGGAAAAGAAAACTATCCGAGGAAAGAAATACGATTCTGATTCTGATGATGACTAGACTGCTGTATTTGTAAAGCATCTCTTTGTTTACGTCAGAGTTAAGTGTCTTTCTGAAGTCCTTGATTTCGGCCCATTGACCATCTGGTCCTCGTATCCCAGAGTTTACACTGCTTCACCACATGGAAGGACACCATTACTATTTGTCTGTGGCCATCGTGTGTAGCTTGAGAGAAACAGATATCTTAAATTACCTGGAAAGGGTCTGGATTCTCTATTTTTGTGATTGTTTTTATCATAACGTAATTCTTCTATCTTTATACCACTCACACTTGTGTTTTTAATCTGCGGAGTTAGCAATAGAAATTCAGCAACTCTTAAGGACTTAATGAGTGCTGTCTATACAAATGGTGTGGGAGCATTTCCTGGTGTCCCACAAATACCTGTCAGTGAGTCCTCGCTTAATGGAATGTGTTTCAGGAACTATTAAAGACTTGCCCGTGTATTCAGGGTGCAGCATGGTGACTGCTGAGAGCAGCGGGACAGTCAGGTCAGCAGCTCATTGCCTGACTTAAAGGATCCACATTGCTTACGTGCTGAGACATGCATTAAGAAATAGTTAAGAAACAGTTTCTGAGTGGCCGCATATGGAACTCCAATGGCTGCTGGTACAACAGTTTTAGAATAGTGTGGCGCCATCTAATGAGATGGCTCAGTGTAGGGAGGCACTTGCCACAAAACTTGAGGACCTGAGTTCAATTCCCAGGACCCACTTGGAAGGAGAGAAACAGTTCCTGCAAATTGTCATGGAGCGCTCACACACACATAATACAGTAGATACAAATTGTCATGTAACACACGTAATGCAGTAAATACAAATTATCGTGTAACACACATAATATAGTAAATACAAATTGTCAGGTAACACACATAATACAATAAATACAAATTGTCATGGAGCACACACACCTAATACAGTAGATACAAATTATCAGGTAACACATAATACAGTAAATACAAATTGTCAGGTAACACATAATACAGTAAATACAAATTGTCATGGAGCACACACACATAATACAGTAGATACAAATTTTAAGGTAACACAATACAGTAAATACAAATTGTCGTGGAGTACACACATAATACAGTAGATACAAATTGTAAGGTAACACAATACAGTAAATACAAATTGTCGTGGAGTACACACATAATACAGTAAATACAAATTATCGTGTAACACAATATAGTAAATACAAATTGTCATGTAACACACAATGCAATAAATACAAATTGTCATGTAACACGTAATACAGTAAATACAAATTGTCATGGAACATGTAATACAGTAAATACAAATTATGTAACATAATCAGTAAATGCAAATATTGAATTTGAAAGGCGATTTGGGATTTGGAAGCAATCTAAAGCGGGAAAGAAGAGGGGACGTGTAGGACAAACATATTAATAAATTAAAGATGACATAAAGAGGCTGGGGAGGTGGCTCAGCAGTTAAGAGCACTTGGGTTCGATTCCTAGCCCCCACATGGTGATTCACAGCCATGCACTAGCTCAGTTCTGGGTGAACCTGATGCTGCCTTCTGACCTCCATGGGCACCACGCAAATGTGCACATACGTACATTCAGGCAGGATACATACACATAAACTAAGGCGAATCTATTTTTAAAAGAAATAAAAATCTAGTTCTTTGAAGGCAACAAACCTGTTCTGAGCAGGTGAGGAAAGGTATAGCAGAAAAGATTCAAGGAAAAATTAAAGTGGCCAACTATGAACATCTTTATACCAATAAACAAGGAAAAGAGAATCCTAGAAAGACCAATTAAAATAGAAGAAAAAATAAAAAAAAAATATGAGCAGGGCTCTAAAGAGATGGCTCAGTGGTTAAGAGTGCGCTCTTGCAGAGAACCTAGGTTCAGTTCCCAGCACCCATGTCAGCGGTAGCTCAAGCTCCAAGGGTATAATGCCATCTTCGGGCACCTGCTCACCTAAGTGCAGACTCACATACATAAAGGGAAGCCTAAATTTGGGCAGAACTAATCTCTGTAAATAGCATTTCTAATGGAAAAGTACAACACCAAATGACTATACTCATAAATTCAACAAAAACATTTTTAAAGAATGACATCAGTTTTCACAAACTTTTACACATCAAACATGAGGGATAACTCTCCTGCTGCTAGTAACTCTATCTCTTAGACTAGTATTAAGCTAACACTAAAGCCATACTGCAACATCATAAAGTTACAGACCAATAATTTTCCTGAGCACACAAAAAAGCTAACTAAAGCCCAGTAATATAAGAAAACAAGATTATATCTTAAGATCATACTCACACATGCATATACCCAAATACAGACATAAATATACATAATTGAAGTCCTAATAAGCAGAATCTTGGGCGGGGGTGGTTTTTTTTTTTTTTTTCTTTAGACAGGGTTTGTTTATGTAGTCCTGGCTGTCCTGGAACTAAGTTGGTAGACTGGGCTGGCCTCTACCAATCCAGTGCTGAGATTAAAGGCCTGTGCCACTACCACCTAGCACAATTTTTTTTTAATCAGTGTAATTTCATCCTGTAGCTACAGTCGGGAAGCAAATGGGAATGGCTACCCTGACAGAGCAGACCCAAGCAAAGTCAGAGACAGTTGACAACAGAGTCGTTTGGTAGACTCAAAGCTGCCTTTGTGACTCTTACCAGAGTAGTCTGTATGCTAAAGAGAGAGATGGGGGGGGGGGGCGATTCGGAAATCCGCAAAGGTAGTGTGCAAGCATGGAGGAAAGATCTAGTGCCTTACAAAGAAGTCAACCTGAGGGCTGGAGAGATGGCTCAGAGGTTAAGAGCCCTGGCTGCTCTTCCTGAGTTCAAATCCCAGCAACCACACTGTGACTCGCACTATCTATAATGAGATCTGGTGCCATCTTCTGGTGAGTGTATGCATAATAAATCTTTAAAAAAAAAAAAAAAAGAACCCCAGCACACGCGTGACTCAGGCAAGGGGTTATGTTGTGTGACCCGGGCTGTCCTGGTGAAGAGACCTGCAGCCCTGCCTTCGGGCAAACTCACAGCTCTCAAACCCACTTGTGGCTGTTGGGTCTGCGGGAAAGGGGACGCCCATTTCTGTTAACCCTGTGACTGACTGGCAGGGTCCAGGCACCACCTTGAGAGGGAACTGAGCTACGCTGAAGCCCGAGAATGGAGAACAAACCACACAACAGCGAGCCTAAGTTTAGTTAACCAAGGTTCAGTAATGACAGACAACCAAGGGAGGTGGCTGTGTAGAATGGGAAGGCACCATGCTGACAGCCGCGTACAGCGAACAGGAACAAAGTCCTGCCCTGGTTGCCAGGAAGCAGATCCCATCAATTGAGTTCTGTAGCCCTGCGCCTGTGATCAGCAGGTGAAGCCTGATGCTATCGAGGTAGCAGTACCACTGCAGAGCCTGGAGACTCAAGCTCCCTCCAACAGCACCCGTCCAGCCAGACAGTGGAAGTACAGAGTCCAAGAACATGTTATCTTGGTTGCTCCCACACTCCAGTGCACTTGGGAGATAGCCCCAGTCCTGAAGAAGGAATCTGGGACCAGAAAGTGATGAAACGCTACCCAGCCCACAGACTGCAAAGCTGAGTGTGGCCAGTAGAGGACGCTACTACACGGAGAAGGGAAGCTACTGAAGTAGACAGGTCCTGTGGAGATCAGACACTTGCCCAGCAGGACTTAGCCATAGAAAGGAGCCCTCTGGTACTTAGGCATTGAAAGAAGCTTCCTTGGTTCTTTATCCTTTCTTTGAGCCCCAGGCCTTCCCTTGCATTTACTTGTTCTTATACTCAAAGCAGTTCTTTTTCTTTATCCTATTTTTTAATATTTTGTTTTAATATTTTGGGATTTTTTTGTTCTTTAGTTCTTCATGGAATCATCAGTTTTTATTATGCATTTTTCACTAATAGGTATTCTTTTTTCTTTTCTTGTTTCCTTTCTTCATTTGTTCCTCTCAACCACACTTTCAGCAGTATGTTAATTTTGTCTTGCTGGGGATACTCTTTAGTTTGTTGTTTTAAAAACTCATGGTTTTATTTTGTACTCCCTTCTTTTGAGGGGGAAGGTTGGGACAGGTTCATTCTATATAGCCGTATGTAGACCAGGCTGGCCTCGAACTCTGAGATCTGCTTCCAGAATACTGAAACAAAACATGCTGCCGCCATGCCCTCTGGAATCCTTAACATTTGTCTAATTTTGTTTTTTAACTATCATATTACAAAATCTGGGCTTTTATTTTGATTTTTTTCTCTTCTAATCTTTTCCCCTTCAACATTCTTCTGTTTTTCTTCTTGTGCTTTCCATTCATTTAATATTACTTCTCTATTTCCCCTCTTCCCTGCCTCCTTCCTTTATCTCATTCATTTGCTATTGCCACATTTGATGTGGGATTCTCTTCTGCATGCTGTGAATATGTTTCATTACCATCGGTTAATAAAGAAGATGCTTCAGCCTATAGCAAGGCAGATTATAGCCAAACTGGATGAGATATAGAGAGTAGGCAGAGTCAGAGAAATGTCATGTAGCTGCCGAAAGAGTCAGACACCAAAACCTTATCTCGTCTGGGTGACCAGGAAGTGAACAAGAAGTCTCTGTCTACACACATTTACCCTAAATAATTGTTAACTTCATAACCTTCTATGTTTCTTTTCCCCATTCTGTTTAATGGTCACATATGATATATTAATGGACTTTAGGTTCATTTCTATATTTGGTACTGTTGTTATTATAATAGTTTGTTATCTCCGTACTGGGTAGTATTCTTAAGAATGGGTTGCTTAGCCGGGTGGTGGTGGCGCCCGCCTTTAATCCCAGCACTCGGGAGGCAGAGGCAGGCGGATCTCTGTGAGCTCGAGACCAGCCTGGTCTACAAGAGCTAGTTCCAGGACAGGCTCCAAAACCACAGAGAAACCCTGTCTCGAAAAAACCAAAAAAAAAAAAAAGTGCAAATCATGTTCAAGAGCATATTAAGATAACAATATTAAGATAACAGAACATGGCTATGTTGCTGTCATCTCAGGGTTGAAAGGTAGTTTAAACATTAAAATCAAGTGTTGTACCCCATGGGCCTAAAGAAATGGTTCAGTGGTTCAGAGTGTATATAGCTCTTGCAGAGGACCCTTCTTTGGCTCCCAGCACCCACATCAGGTGACTTATACAACAACCACCTATACCTCTAATTACAGAGGATGTGACACCTTCTGGAACTCGGAGGATGCCTGCATGTTTTGTATATAATGTGCATAAATTCACACAGTCTTGCATATGTACACATAAATACTGAAAATTTAAAAATTGCTAGCCCAAGCTGGGCGGTGGTGGCGCACGCCTTTAATCCCAGCACTCGGGAGGCAGAGGCAGGTGAATCTCTGTGAGTTCGAGGCCAGCCTGGTCTACAAGAGCTAGTTCCAGGACAGGAACCAAAAGCTACGGAGAAACCCTGTCTCGAAAAATCAAAAAAAAAAATTGCTAGCCCACACATAAACTAAAAGACAGAAATCACGTAATCATCTCCATAAGCACAAGAAGGGCCTTTGACAAAGTTCAGCATCCTTTCCTGATAAAAAATAAAAAAACAAAAAGCCAAACCCTCCAAAGAAGCTAGGAAGAGAAGGAACATAAGAACATAATAAAAGTGGTATATGAAAAACTTATAACCAATGTTATACTAAATGGGGAAAAAATGAAAGTGTTTTCTCTAAAACCAGGAATGAGACAAGTGTTGCTGTTCTCACTTATTCAATATGGTGCTTGAATTTTAGCTAGTGATAAGAAAAGAAATAAAAGGGAGACAAATGGGAAAACGAAGGAGTGAAGTTCCCCTTGTTGGAAGACATGATCTGATGCTAAAGAGACTCTTAGAACTTGCAAA